CGGAATAAGAGTTTAATTCGTTAATCTATATAAAAAAAGGTCTCTAGAATGTAAATAAAAATTTTTGTAACTTAATTCAATAATAAAAAGTTATTCAAAAATAAAGGCCTAAGAGTGTGGCGTCTTCCTCCGAGTCATCTTAGTATTTAATTTAATTGCATAATTAAAATAGCAATATTAAAACAATACTAAGATAATTAAATTATACTAACGATACAACGACATTGTAATTAACGAACATGCATTCCATTATGTCTTCATATTTATTACTTCATCTTTATTTTAATTAATACATTAATGTAATGAAAGTTATAAAATTTGAAATGTTTAGTTTAATTTTTTTTAGAGCTAATATAATATAACGTGTCGAAAACAGTATTCGATTAATTTAGCCATCGACTTTAAACCCGAAAATTGTGGTCTCAATATATTTACGTATTCTAATTAAATAAGAATGAATGATATATTTAGTTTCCTTTAGATTTAATATAATAACGTATCGGAAATAGTATTCGGTTAATCCATTGCAGCTCTCAGTATCTCAACTTTAAACCCGAAGTTTTGTAGTCTTAATATTTATAGATTGTAATTATATTCACAAAGAAACCTCTTGTGTTCGAGCGGCAAAATTCACCAGTTGCAGCGTGGTTACGTCTGTTGACGGTGCAACAAGTCGGGTTAACAGCTGTTTCGGGCGCATATAGTTATATGCACGACGACGGTACTATGGCACTTCGATTTGGCCCAAGTCCAGGCCGAGTTTACGAAGCTTTAGTGAACTTGGGCGTCACACGTCTGTTGAATAGGAGGCCGCATGAGTTACAGTAAATGAAGCATTTTGTAAGTTTCGACGTGGATGCAACGAAGAATGCAATCTCGTCACGAGTGAGTAAAACAGTTCTCTCGGTGTATGATAATAGTAATCATATTTAATTCAGTTTGAAAGGGAGATTGCATTGTTCCACATTTCTATAATGAATTCTAAAAAATAAATGATAGTTAATTAAAAAATTCTCGAAAATGTCCAATAAAAGAACTTAGAGACAAATATTAGTTAGTACTGTAATTAGTATGCGCAAGTTTGTGGTTATAACATGATTATATTATTAACTTATAATAAATTGTAAAAGAGATTGACACAATCGGACGTTCCGAGCCATCCTCAGTGAAATGTTATATATATATACAGGGTGTTTCCAAATTAAATGGCAAAACTTCGGGAGCGTGTAGAGGAGTAAAAAACTAAGAAAAAAAGTCCTATAGACATATGCTCCTTTTTGCTTTGTTTCGCAGGAAATCACGAAAAAAGAAAAAAATATATTTAATTTAT